AAGTTCCCAAATCTCCACTTCCCCTTGGCGGGGGGAGGGGCTTTGGGGACACCTTGGGGACACCTTGGGGACATTGGGGACCCTCGTGCTGACATTGTCACCTCCCCCCTCCTCCCCCCCAGGCTGCCACCGCCGCCCACGTCCTGCTCAGTGCCGGTAAGTCCTGATGTCCCCAATGTCCCCAACGTCCCCTGTGTCCCCTGATGTCCCCAACGTCCCCTGTGTCCCCTGATGTCCCCTGATGTCCCCTGATGTCCCCAATGTCCCATGTGGTCCCCTGTGGTCCCCTGTGGTCCCCTTCTGTCCCCTCCTGTCCCCTGATGTCCCCTGATGTCCCCTGATGTCCCCAATGTCCCCTCCAATGCCCCCCCCCCCCCCCCCCGAGTCATCTCGAAATTGTCACTCGGGTTCCTCGCAGAGGAAGTGTCACCTCTCCGATGTCACCTCCCCGATGTCGCCTCCCCCGCGGCATCCGGGGGTGGCACAGGCGACGTCACGGAGTGTCCCCAAGATGTCAGTGTCCCCAAGGTGTCACGGAGTGTCCCCAGCGTGTCACAGAATGTCCCTAAAGTGTCACGGAGTGTCCCCAAGATGTCAGTGTCCCCAAAGTGTCACGGAGTGTCCCCAGAGTGTCACAGAATGTCCCCAGGGTGTCACGGAGCATCCTCTGTCCCTGTGGTCCCCAGGGTGTCACCGAATGTCCTTTCGGGTCACCCCGTGTCCCCTCGGTGTCACCCCCTCCCCTCTGTCCCCAACCTCACCCCAGTGTCCCCTGTTGTCCCCAGGCTCCCCCCTCCCCTCTGTCACTCGCTGTCCCCAATGTCCCCACTGATCTTTGTCCCCTGTGTCCCCAGTGTCTCCACTGACTTGTCCCATATCCCCAGTGTCCCCATTGTCCCCACTGATCTTTGTCCCGTGTCCCCACTGACTTGTCCCATATCCCCATGTCCCCAATGTTCCCAGTGTCCCCAATGTCCCGGCGTCCCCTGACTCACCTGATGTCCCCGTGTCCCCAATGTCCTGTCCCATGTCCCCACTGTCCCCATGTCCCCAATGTCGCCATGTCCCTACTGTCCTGTCCCATGTCCCCAATGTCCCCTGACTCACCTGATGTCCCTTGTCCCCAGTGTCCCCAATGTCCCCATGTCCCCATGTCCCCATGTCCCCAGTGTCCCCATGTCCCCATGTCCCCTGACTCACCTGCTGTCCCTTGTCCCCAGGCTCGCTGTCCCTGCCATCCTCCCCGGGCTGGCGCTACGACGACGGCGTCCA